CTAGCCTTAGGACGAGGGGGAGGAGAGTTGGGGGGTGGAGGGGGACACTGACTCCAGGAAGAGGGGAGGCCAGCCTCCAAGAATGAGGAATCCTAGCCAGCCACCCCACCTGTCCAGTGGACCTGGCCCTCACCCCGAGATGTGCGGAACCTGAGCATGCACGCCGTGGCCAGGGCTGGGGTGAAGGTCCCGGGCCTCGCACGGCCGCTCGGAGACGTCCCCACCGCGCCCCGGGGTCCGGGGAAGACCCGCTTCTCCAGGAGGAAAACAGGAAGTCCCGCCCAGGCGGGGGCCAGGACCGGAAGTCCCGCCTCTGGACGGGTGAGGTGCGCCCCGAGGCCCCCCTAGCCAACCCCCGACCCCGTGGACACGGTCCACGGCCAAGGCAAAGGTCCCCGTGGGTCTGGGCACCACGAGGTAAGGCTGTCAGGATTTGCCTCGGGTTCTCGCCGACGACCTTTTCCAGCGCTCAGGAAAGGGTCGCTGGGCAATCTGTGGCCTGTGGCCTACGCAGGCCATACCCCTCCCGTGAGCCGCCTGCCCTCCCAGCGCCTGGCGGCCTCAGGACGGCCAAAGCCTCCCCACACCGCGGTCCACAACGCCGCCTCCACTCACGTGCCCGTAGCCAGCATGGCCGGCCCGGCGCCGTGGCCGCCCTCAAAAGACATGGCGGCGCCGTGCGTCACGTCCGAGTAGTGGCCCCGCCTTCGCTCTGCATACTCCGCCTCCCTCAATAGGGCCGCCCGAGATAAAAATGGCGGCCACAAGGGCTTCATCCGGACCCGTAGGCAGTGACGACATCGGGGTTCCCATAAGAAAAATGGTGAGAAAAAGGCTTCAGCTTGCGCAGAAACAAGCCTAGACCATATCATTTGCCCCCAATAAATATGGCCGCTCGCACGTGCTCACTCATGACCACCGTAAACTAAGACAAGCGATCTGACGTTCTTCACCCAAAGTCAACTTCTTCCCCAGAAGTGGAGGAGCTAGGTGCCCGTTAATGGCATGGCATCCAGCGTAGCTTCATCTGCCCATGATGTATATGGGCTCTCCCTCCCTCCAACCTACCCCCTTCAGCACCAAGGCTGGCAAAGATCCAATATGGCAGCATTTCTTGCTTCGGCTTGCCAGGTTTCAAAATGGTGGCCAGCCTGCTCGCTCGACGGTGACTCTGGAATTCGTCTGGTTCTGCTTCGTTGCCGGAGCACTGACGGCTTCATCCCGTTATCCCGAGTCCCTCAGCGCCTTCTTGTAAAGTACAACTGCTCTCACCTTCTTTTCCTTTATCCGTTCCTCTCTTCCAGCACCTCGCCGTCGCGCCCCGCAGAGAGATGGGATTGCCCCGCAATAACATGGCCTCAGCCGATCTGTTTTGGCTGTGCCCTCGAGCAAAATGGCACTTGCTTGGCTTCGATGCCAGTACACAATATGGTGGAGGAAGTGGGCGTTTCGGGGATAGCTTGATCTGGGTGGTGGAGCTCTTAGGCCCGCCCACTTGTTTACTTCGTGGCGAGAGCGGTAACACTGCGCCTGCGCACTCTCACTGGCTGGCTCCACCTTTGGCGTCTGCGGCATGTGACTCCAACGCTAAATTCAGCCACCCCATCCTGAAAGGTGGCTTCACCCACTCCTGCTTTAGGACGGGTAGAGTCGCTACCACTGTCCGGCCTTGCGGGGGGAGAGTGTCATTTCCGGATGTGACGAGACGGTGACCCGGAAAAGGAGGAGGCCGGGCTAGAGGGGCCTGAGGCGGCGGCTATGGACGGGGCCAGCTACAGGGTAAGCACTGAGGACGCGTTCTCTCGCTTCTGTCTACGCGAAACACCCTGTCCAGTGGTCAGCTCCTTCCTCAGGCCGTGCGGGCGCTCTGGGAGCCCGGCAAAGCCTTGACAAACACCGATCTCTTATAAACGCGCTGTCACCCTCTGGTCCAACGCCCCAGAGGAGACCTTCTCTTTTAGCCCCGCCCTCCGGCTCGGAACTCTTCCGACCCCGCCCCCTTGGAATGCACACCCTTCCCCGAACGCAGGGCAGGCTTTTTGGGTTTGACCACTTTCCCCGGTCCTATCCCCTGGGCAATGGTCTCCTCCCCGGGGCCGCCCCATTGGCTCCCTCCTAGGCCCCGCCCACTCCGCCACGCTTGGGTCCCGCCCTTCACGGGTTCCCGCCCCCAGGTGGTGTTTGAGAAGGGAGGAGTGTACCTGCACACCAGTGCCAAGAAGTATCAGGACCCGGACTCCCTCATCGCTGGCGTCATCCGTGTGGTGGAGAAGGTAGGCTGGGCTCCGAGCGGGATGGAGGCGGCATCTGTGGGAATATGGTCTAGCGGTCAGCAGTGGGACCTTGGGAAGGCTGGGGGTGGGAACTGAATTGGGGGGCGGGACTTTGAAAGGCCGAGGGTGGAGAGTGGGGAAGCTTCGAAATTCACAGCCCAAAGCTTTGGTGGTGTGGTTTGCAGAGCGCTTCTAACTACCCCCTCCCTCCCTCAGGACAGTGACGTCCTCCTGCACTGGGCTCCTGTAGAGGAGGCTGGAGATTCCACCCAAATCCTCTTCTCCAAGAAGGTAGGCTTCTCCCCCTTTCCGCTTCTTCACTGACTTTTTTCTAGGTCTCTGCAGTGGAAGACATTTGAGGAACTTGGGTACAATTCGAGACCTGTCCTTGGGACATACATAACATGATTGAGAACTGGGTTATCTTTGCTTCTGTTTCCTTCTGTGTGAAATGGATAGAGAATGTCCATTCATGAAAGAGCAGGTGCCATGAGGCTCCAGGCCATGGGCACAGCTGTGCAAAGGGGGTGACCCTTTGCTCTTTGGGAGATTCCTGCCAGAGTACAAGAGGACAACTCAGCCTGTGGATTCGAGTTGCTTGAAGGGGTGTGGAATTTTCCTGGTGCTGTCTGCCATCATATCCAGAGAAGAACAGGACATGACGGAGCCTGCTCACATATTTCGCCAACGTTCCTCCACCCGGGCACAGGGCCTCCGCTTCCCTTATCAGATGTCTCCTGGGGCTTTCTGCTGGGCCCTGTGCTGAACAACACTGCGGCCCAGAGATGAGCCAGACCCAGACTCTGCCGAAGCTCTCATCCCTAGTCTGTTTTTGAGAAACTGACATACAATGAGAGGAAGTCCCTTTCCTGAGGTCAGAAAAGCTAGGAGATGTTGGAACTGTAGTTTGAACCCAATATGATTCCAGATCCCCAATTCTTCCTGGGAGGGCAGACAATGGAACTCTAAGGATAAAAAGAGGACATGAGCCAGGCGTGGTAGTTTGTATCTGTCATCCTAGCACTTTGGGAGGCAAAGGATTGCCTGAGCCCAGGGTTCGAGACCAGCCTGGCATCTTGGCAAGACCTCAAGACCTCATCTCTACAATAAATCAAAACATTAGCTGGACGTGGTGGCGTGTGCCCGCAGTTCCAGCTACTTGGAAGGCTGAGGCGGAAGGATCACCTGAGCCCAGCATGGGGAGGCTGTGGTGGCCATGAGTGTGCTACTGCACTCCAGCCTGGGTGACAGACTGAGACTCCAGCTCAAAACAAACAAAAAAGGGCAAGAAGGCATTTCAGGGACGGCAGGAGGAAGTGTGTTTCAGGGCACGTGGGAATGTTGGATGTCTTCACAGAGAAGTTTTCTATGAAGGTTAGATCTGAAATGCTAGACTGAGAAACTTGCACTTTGTCTGGGTAACCCTGGGGAACCATGGGAGAGGGGTGTGGGTAGGAAAATCCCCACTAGGGGCCATGTGGGAGATGGACTAAAGGACTGAATGGAGGGAGATTAGAGGCTGGGAGGTCAGGGAGGAGGCTGATGTCATTAGCTGGGCGTGGTAGTGCACACCTGTAGTTCCAGCTACTTGGAAGGCTGAGGTGGAATGTTTATCATTCTTGAGGAAGAGAGGAGGAAGCCTTAGCTGGAGTGATAAGGATGGAGAGGAAGGAACAGATTTAGGAGGTGACAAAGTTGACACTGGAGCTGTCTTGAAAGATGAATAGGATTTGACAAGGCAGAGAGGATGGGGAAGGGCAGGCCTTACGGTATGACCAAGGGAACTTGAAGTTTTGGTTCTGTACACACCCCGCTTGGTCTAAGTGAACACACTGCCAGGAAGGCACCACTATCCCTGTTAGGTGACTTTACAACATGACATAGCTCAAGGGGCTTTCCTGGAGTCCCAGGCATTCTGGAAGCAGAGATTAAAAGAGATCATGGACACCAGGAGCCCAGGAGAACCTGGCTTCCCCCTTCCTCAGCTCCATGGTTCTATGGACCCAAGGATGTCTGGGAGGTGGCTCGACCCAGTGGCTCACACCTATAATCCCAACACTTTGGGAGGCCAGTGTGGGAGGATTGCTTAAGGCTGGGATTTCAAGACCGGCCTGGGCAACATAGTAAGAACTCATCTCTACAAAAAAATTAAAAATTAGCTAGATGTGGTGTTGTGTGCCTGTAGCTCCAGCTACTTGGGATTGCTGAGGCAAACAGATCACTTGAGCCTGGGAGGTAGAGGCTGTGGTAAGCCATGAGCATGCCACTGCATTCTGGCTAGGACGACAGAGTGAGACCCCGACTCAAAAAAAAAAAAAAAGATGAGTTTCCTTCCTCTCCTGTGTCCCCCTGGGCAGGCAACTACATTTTGAACCAGTTTTCTTTTAGATGAAAGAGCAATTCTGTGCCATAGTTTTCTTCAATTTGAGCAGGCTTTCAAATGACCTGGCAGTGGTGGGGCAGGGGAAAGTGTTGACACCAGAACTTGGGAGAGTTGGCTTCACTGGCTTGGTGAAGCAGCGACCTGGATTCTGCATTTTGCACCAACCATGGAGGCCTCCTGAATGTCTTTCTTGAGAATATTGCTGTTTTCCTTGGCACTCTTGTGTTTGAATCACAGAAACCCACAAGGACAGGCTTCAGCAGAAGAAGGACATGTGCAGGAGTCAGGACACATTTCAGCTTCTGGGAACATCAAACTTGGTCAGCGACTGGTTAAGGCACTGAGTTTGTTTTTCTCACATCACAAGATGCTTAAGAGGTCGCTGCCCACTGGCCTTCATTGGTTGATATCAGGCCTGGATCACTACGACCCCATAGTGCTTGTTCTAGTGGACTTTTCTTTCCTTTTGAGTTGGAGTCTCACTCTGTCACCCTGGCTGGAGTGCAGTGGTACACTCACAGCCACTGCAGCCTTGACCTGCTGGGCTCAGGCGACCCTTCCACCTCAGCCTTCCAAGTCACCTGGAACCACAGGCATGTGCCACCATGCCCAGCTAATTTTTTGACTTATTGTAGAGACGAGGTCTCACCATGTTGCCCAGGCTGATCTTGGATCTGCGGGCTCCCAAATTGCTGGGATTATAGGTTTGAGCCACCACGCCCGACCAACGTGGTGTCTTATCTTGGTTTTGATGTGCACTTCCCCAGTGGGTATCATCACCTGGCTTTAGGCACTCGGCAGTCTGACTGCAGAGCTACTTGCCATGCGGCACTACCTCCCATGCATCAGGGAGCTTGGGTTCAAGACCTGGCTTTCTCCCTGTCTGCACTGGTTGATTCTGAGAAAATGCCGTACCTTAGCTGGGCGTGGTAGTGTGTGCCTGTAGTTCCAGCTACTTGGAAGGCTGAGGCGGAAGGATTACCGGAGCCCAGCAGGTCAAGACTGCGGTGGCCAGGAGTGTGCCACTGTACTCCAGTCTGGGTGATGGAGTGAGATTCCAACTAAAAAAAAAAAAAGAAAAAAAAATGATGTACCTTCTTTGTGCCTCAGTTTCCCTCTTTGTTCAAGGGGGCTACCTTTCAGAGTGGCCTTGAGGCTCAGATCTGGAAACTGACAGTCCCTCACTCTCTTCCTTCCAAGGACTCCAGTGGGGGTGACTCCTGCCCCTCCGAGGAAGAACCGACCTTTGACCCAGGCTATGAACCCGACTGGGCTGTCATCAGCACTGTGCGGCCACAGCCCCGCCATGCAGAGCCCACAAGAGGTAGGCTGAGCTGGTGCCCTTAGGGGGCAGTGGGACGCGTCATGCTCTCAGTGGTCATGGCTTCAAGGGCTTTGCTGCTCAGTCAGGACAGCCACTTGTCGCCACCTTTCAGTCCCGGGAGAGCAGAAGTGAAGGGTATGGGACTGTCTCAGCCCAGGTGCAACACGGCATCAGGGTTGCACCCCACTCAGCCCTCTGGATTGGCTGTGGACAACCCCCCCATGAGTCTGCTTTTGCAGGTTTGAGGCTTATAGGGTCGGACAGATCTTGGGGTCATACAGGGTGCTGGGACATGCAGAGAAGGCATCTGACCTCTCTGGGGAGCGGAGACCCCTTCCGGGATGAGGTGATGCCAGACCTTGGCTCTGAGGGATGCTTGGGGTTTTTTTTCCCTGACAAAGACAGTAGCCTGTGCGACCCAGGAGCAGGCAACCCCAGGTGTGTGTGGGGAGCCACTAGCCTTTTATTGTAGCTTAGGTGTGGAATTTGGAACACAGGTGGGTTGGAGGTGAGACAGGCAGCGACCAGGAACAGGCCTGAGGGGCCTTGAGTGCCAGGCTGAGGGATACAGTGTCTACCCTGCAGCTTGTGGGGAGCCTGGGAAGGTTCTGGAACAGGCACATGTCTACCGGGCTCCTTGTGCTTCCCACTTGTGCTTCCAAGGAAATGTGAGGCAACCGGAGTTCCCAGAGGCCAGGGTCTGGGGGTGGCTCGTGGTAGGGTCCCATGAGACGATTATGTTGAAGGAACATGCTGGGTTGACATGGCCCCTCTGGCCTCCAACACCTGTCCCAACACGGCGCCATCCCCCTAGGTGCAGAGCCCAGCTCCCCCCGGGGCTCTTGGGCTTTCTCGGTGAGTCTGGGCGAACTCAAGTCCATCCGCCGCTCCAAGCCAGGCCTCAGCTGGGCCTACCTGGTCCTGGTGACCCAGGCTGGAGGCTCACTGCCCGCGCTGCACTTTCACCGTGGGGGCACCCGCGCCCTGCTCCGCGTCCTCAGCCGATACCTGCTGTTGGCCAGGTAAGCCTTCTCCTGGGGCCTGGCCTTTGACCAGGCTTGTCCCTCCATGGCCACAGCCTGACCCTTCAGGGCTGTGAAAGAAACACAACAAAAGAAGGAAAAATGAGTTGATGGGCATTTAAAGCTGAGAAGTCAATGGGTAGTACTGATTGCCAGGCCCCAAAACGTTGGCAAGAGTTGCTCTTTCTTCCTCTTGAGCTTCTATCACTCTCTGGGGTCTGCAGTAGCCCTGGCTTAGCCACCTGGTGGAGAGAAAGTATCTGTTTCCCACATTCCAACAAAGTCCCAGGGTTGCCTCTCATTGGCTCGTCCCTGAGTCAGTCATCCTGGCCAGGGAGGCAGAAAGTCCTCATTGGTCAGCCTGAGTCATGGGCCCACCCTGGGGTCCAGATCTGGTTTTAGGTCTCCCCTATAACAGCATACCCCCGCCCCGAGATGAGGGACTCCCCAAGGGCGATTGGAATGCTGCAGCTGGGACAGGTGTAGGGTGGGCATAGCCATCCTGGGACTCCGGGCCCTCCACCAGTGCCTCACCTCTGCGTCACCTCCCAGCTCCCCACAGGACTCCCGCCTCTACCTTGTCTTCCCCCACGACTCTTCTGCCCTCTCCAACTCCTTCCACCACCTGCAGCTCTTTGACCAGGACAGCTCGAATGTGGTGTCCGTGAGTGTCCCTGGCCCCAGGCCTGGTGGGCGTGGGCAGGGCGGGCTGAGAAGCGGTGGGCCATGACTGGCCTTCGGCCTTGTCCCCAGCGCTTCCTCCAGGACCCCTACTCCACCACCTTCAGCAGCTTTTCCCGAGTGACCAACTTCTTCCGGGGTGCCCTGCAGCCACACCCTGAGGGGGCTGCCCCTGACCTTCCCCCCCCACCTGACGATGAGCCTGAGCCTGGATTCGAGGTCATTTCCTGTGTGAGTAGAGAGTGGACCCTCCCTGTTACTTTCTGGCTGTGTCAACTCGGGCACATGCTTTTGTTTTCCCTGGGCCTCAATTTTCTCCTTGGGAAGACAGGGACAAGAATAGAAAGCGCAAGACACAGTGAGCACCAGATGGCTCTTATTATTGGGGGGCCCTTCCTGGCTGGGTGACGTAAGTGCTGACTCAGGAAAGGTGCTGCTTCCTGTCCCTGAACGTTAACTGTCCGTCGAGCTAAGAAGAGCTTTGGGCCCGGTGCCATGGCTTATGTCTGTAATCCCAGCACTTTGGGAGGCTGAGGTGGGAGGATCTCTTCTCTACAAAAAACACAAAAACTAGCCGGGCGTGGTGGTGTACACTTATAGTCCCAGCTACTCAGGAGGCTGAGGGGGAGGGTCACCTGAGCCCAGGAGGCCGAGGCTGCAGTGAGCCAGGATCGTGCCACTGCACTCCAGCCTGGGTGGCAGGGTGAAACCCCAACCCCAAAGCTAAATAAGTAAAAATTTCAAAAAAAGAAAAAGGGCTCTGAGCTCCCATGGGTGTGGCCAAGGGCCAGTGTGCTGGGCTCACTTGCAGTGCCCGTCAGGTGGAGCTGGGGCCCCGGCCGGCCGTGGAGCGGGCCCCTCCGGTCACAGAGGTGGAGTGGGCCCTCCATGTGGGCCCTGAGGGCCGCCTGCAGCAGGTCCCTGAGCTGAAGAACCGGATTTTCTCGGGGGTGAGTGCTGGGCTGGGTGGGAGGTTGGGGCAGGGCCGGGAGGAGCCTCGCTGAGCTGCCCGCCCCCTGTGCCCATAGGGTCTGAGCCCTGGCCTGCGGCGTGAGGCCTGGAAGTTCCTCCTGGGGTACCTCAGCTGGGAGGGCTCCGCCGAAGAGCACAAGGCCCACATGCGCAAGAAAACGTGAGTGAGGGGCTGCAGCTGCTGCTGGTGTCCTCAGGAGCCCTCTTCCCTGCCAGGCAGGACACTAGTGCTTTGTAGGGGCACTGGCAGGCAGTCATGTGCATGTTCCTGGAACACTATTTGTGAGCCTGCCATAGGCTGGCACTGTCCTGCCCTCAAGGGATATAGCAGCCAACAAGCCAGACCCGTCCCCACCCCTGTATGGCCAGTTTCCTGTCTCTCTTGCTGTTTTCATTCCTGTGCCATACTGTTTTAACGATCACAGCTTTGTAGTGTGTTTCATAACCCAGTAGGCCCATCTCTCCTCATTCCTGAGTATATCATGTACCTGCTATATGTCCTGCCCCTGCCGGGCACTGAGGATGCAGCAGTGCCTGACTTTCCTGTCCCTGGAGCGCTCTGTCCAGTACGGGGTGATAGATTTTCATCAACAGCCCGCAAGGAAGTCTGTGTTGTGAGAGAGGTCAGGAGGGAGACCTACGGGGTGGTGGCCAGGATGACTGGGCGACCCGCTTGGGTCTGCCTGGTTGGTCCGGGAGAAGCTCTGCGGGGCTGAGCGGGGGCCTGAGCCCTGAAGGATGAGGAGGTGGCGCCAGGCTGGCAGGCATCCGGGGGCTCCCCTGGGAGCGGCACTGAGGGGTGTCCAAGTGTGTTGTCCCTCTGCCTCCAGGGACGAGTACTTCCGCATGAAGCTGCAGTGGAAGTCCGTGAGCCCTGAGCAGGAGCGGAGGAACTCACTCCTGCATGGGTACCGCAGCCTCATCGGTGGGTGTTGGGGGCTGCCCAGAGGGTGGGATGGGGGCAGGGCGGGCCTTGGGGAGGGGGCAAGGAGACATGGAGCGAGACCCCCGACCCCAGGACCAGAGGTGAGGTCATCTCGGGGGGAAGTGGGTGAGCCGTGGTGGCAGTGGCCAGGGAGACAAGGGGGGTGGGGGAGGAGGGGTCAGGCTGCCCTGGGTCACATCTCAGCTCAGTCTTCTGCTTGCCTTCAGGTCTGGGTGGGTGATGTGACCTCCCTGGGCCTCAGCTTCCCCCCATAGGGGGATGTGGCCAGCCGATGAGTAGGAAGCCCGGCACCTCACAGCAGGGTGATGGTTTCTAGAACTGGCTCCTCTTCTCTGCCCAGAGCGAGTCTGAGGTTGGGGGCTGCCACCAGGAGGAGGGGTGGCCAGAGGGACGGGCCAGCTCACTCTTCTCCCCTTTGCACCTGGCCCCGCAGAGAGAGATGTGAGCCGCACTGACAGAACCAACAAATTCTACGAGGGCCCCGAGAACCCGGGGCTTGGCCTCCTGAACGACATCCTCCTCACGTACTGCATGTACCACTTCGACCTTGGTAGGGCACCAGGCCCAGGGCGGGATGGGGCGGGTCTTTCCCAGGAACACCGAGGGCCTGACCCCGTGTCCCCCCAGGCTACGTCCAAGGCATGAGTGACCTTCTCTCCCCGATCCTCTACGTCATTCAGAATGAGGTGGATGCCTTCTGGTGTTTCTGTGGCTTCATGGAGCTTGTGGTGAGGCTTAGTGCGGGGGCAGAGACAGGCCCCTCGAGGGATCAGGGGTCCGGCTCCTCACCAGGCCTCCCTCCCTCCCTCCCTCCCACAGCAAGGAAACTTTGAAGAGAGTCAGGAGACCATGAAGCGGCAACTCGGGCAACTTCTGCTGCTCCTGAGGGTGCTGGATCCCCCGCTCTGTGACTTCCTAGGTATGTGTCTTGGGCAGGTGGGCAGGAGACAGTGGGGCCACAGACCTTGTCTAAAAGTCTCTGGTAGCAGCCACAGGTGGCGTCCTGGACATAGGCTCCTGATCCAAACAAGAGAAGCATTCGTACCGTATCCAGAAACTAAAACTTATGTGAAAGACAGAGTTGCAGTTTGGAGCAAAACCTCAACAAATGCAGGTGTGCAGGCACTGTTAGAGGCTGTGTGCCAGAGAACTGCACCCTCATGCCCACCTTGATCCCTTTGGGCTTTAACTTTGGTTTAACCAGCTGGGTACTTTTCAGAAAGGAGGACCACGGTGTGGCTCCTTCCCCTTCTTATCTCCACCTAGCTGCTGCTCACTTTGAGCCAGGGATTGGAAACAGGTTCCCTGGCCCCTGGGGCTGGGACTGCTACATTCCTGCTTTAAAATTTTTCTTCTTCAATACTTGTTCAATGTTAAAAAAAAAAAAAAAAAAAGAGTCAGGCATGGTGACTCACACCTGTAATCCCAGCATTTTGAGAGACTGCCTGAGCTCGGAAGTTCAAGACCAGCCTGTGTAACATTGCAAGACCTCGTCCCTACAATAAAATAAAAAATTAGCCAGGCATGGTATCGCACACCTGTAGTCCCAGCTACGCATAAGGCTGAAGTGGAAGGATAGCCTGAGCCCAGGAGGTCAAGGCTGTGGTAGCCGTTTTTGTGCTACTGCACTCCAGCTTGGGTGACAGAGTAAGACTCCTATTAATTAAAAAAAAAAAAAAATGTGACCGGGCTCAGTGGCTCAGCCTGTAATCCCAGCACTTTGGGAGGCCAAGGTGAGTGGATTGCTTGAGCCTGCGGGTTGGAGACCAGCCCAGGCAACTTGGCAAGACCTCATCTCTACGATATATCAAAGGATAGCCAGGTGTAGTAGCACACACCTGTAGTTCCGGCTACTTGGAAGGCTAAGGTGGAAGGATCACCAGAGCCCAGTAGTTCGACGCTGCGGTGGCAGGGAGCGCCTCTGCACTCCAGTCTGGGTGACAGAGTGAGACTCCAACTCAAAAAAAAAAAAAAAAGCAGGCCGGTGGCTCAGCCTGTAATCTAAGCACTTTGGGAGGTCAAGGTGAGTGGATTGCCTGAGCCCATGAATTCAAGACCAGCCCGGGCAACTTGGTGAGACCTTGTCTCTACAACAGATTAAAAAATTAGTCAGATGTGGTAGCACGCACCTGTAGTTATGACTACTTGGAAGGCTGAGGTGGAAGGATTGCTGGGGCCCAGCAGGTTGACGCTGGAGTGGCTGTGAGTGTGCCACGGCACTCCAGCCTGGGTAACAGAGTGAGACTCCAATTCAGAAAAAAAAAATGCAGGAAATTCAGATAAAGAAAATAAAGTAAAAGTTCTTGTTAACTGCATTATTTTTTTCATTGCAATACTAAGTTAATTCATTGAAGTTTTATGGGATTCCAATCCCTGGGGCAGCTGAGATATTCTGGGCTTCACCTCACTGAAGAGGAAACTAAGTCTGAAACTTCCTAGCCGGGCATGTGGCTCACGCCTGTAATCCCAACACTCTGGGAGGCGGGGCAAGAGGATTGCCTGAGCCCACAGATTCAAGATCAGCTCGGGCAACTTGACAAGACCTTGTCTCTACAGTAAATTAAAAAATTAGCTGGACGTGGAGGCTACTTAGAAGACTAAAGCAGAAAGATCACCTGAACCAAGCTGGTTGAGGCTGCAGTGGCCATGAGTGTGCCACTGCACTGCAGCCTGGGTGTCAGAGTGAGACTCCGACTAAAAAGAAGAAAAATGTCACTTCCTGGTGCATGCAGATGTGAGCTCCTTCTCTGTGCCATTAAGTAGAATTGGTTTAACCTGAACTGCTGGACATTTGGGTCATTTGCAGTTTTTTATCATGATGGATTGTCTGGATAATTTCTTTAGATTAAGTTCCAAGAAGTGGAATTCTGTTCAGGAATTCTGTCCGGGACAGTCCTTGTTTTCACAGCTTTTGAAATATTTGTCAGCCAGGCGTGGTGGTGCACACTTGCAGTTCCAGCTACTCAGGAGGCTGAGGCTACAGGATAATCTGAACTCAGCATGTTGAGACTGCAGTGAGCGATGCTTGTGCCACTGCACTCCAGTCTAGGTGACAGAGCAAGATCTTGACTCAAAAAAAAAAGAAATGTTTGTCCTTCATCATTGCTTTTTTGAAGAGTTACCACACCAGATCAGATTTTTCTAGCAGTGTTTTTAGGAGGGCCGATTTCCTTAGCTTTCATCAGCATGGAGTGCAGAGATTCTGTTTTCCTGGGGTGTGCTGGGTATACTGCATCCTTTCGTGTCAGTGGAAGATGTGGAAGTGGCACCCTTGGTCTGGAATGTGGAAGGCAGGTTGGGAAAGGTCTGGCTGACACCCAGTGGTCGTCACCTCGGAAGTCCCCGAGTTGGGCGTAAGGTACCCGCCTAGACTTGGGGAGGGACCCGCAGCCAGGGTCACATCTTAGAGTCTCTGTGCAAATGTCAGCCTCGTTGTGGCTGACCCGGGATCCAAGTCGGTTTGGAGCTTGCATCTCTTGGGGCGTCAGCTGTAGGCACGGCTGAGAATGGGCCCCCTGTCCTCCCCTAGACTCCCAGGACTCTGGCTCTCTCTGCTTCTGCTTCCGGTGGCTGCTCATCTGGTTCAAGAGGGAATTCCCCTTCCCGGATGTCCTTCGGCTGTGGGAGGTGCGCCTGCCGGCTTGGGTGGGAGGCCTCAGGAGGAAGGAGTGGGCACTCCTGTCCCGGGAGGGGTGGAGGCCGGGTGGAGACGGGCTGAGGGCGCGGCAGACCTGGGTGTGACCTCAGGCAAAGCTGGGCCATGACCTCCCTGTGCCTCCGGCGCCTCCAGGTGCTGTGGACGGGGCTCCCTGGCCCCAATCTGCACCTACTGGTGGCCTGTGCCATCCTGGACATGGAGCGGGACACCCTCATGCTGTCTGGCTTCGGCTCCAATGAGATCCTCAAGGTGAGCTGGGGGCCGCTCCCAGCCCTGCCCTCGCCCTGCCCACCTTCCCCCGGGTCCACGTCTGTGGGGGCTGGCACCGGGCCCTGCCACAGCACCTTAGGGAGTAGTACTGGTTAGCACCGCGGGAGTGGGCCGCCATCTCTCCCTCCTGCCCTGTCCCGTGCCTTCTCCCACAGGGGCCTCGCAGAGGCGGTGCCTGGCACCGGCCTCCCCAGCCCCAGGCGGGGCCGGGCCCTTTTCCCGCCCGGCGTCGGGTGCTCGGAGCGCGCACACCTGCCGCCCCTCCCGGCCTCGGAGCCCCCAGAGGGCCAGCCCTGTGTCTTCCCCGTTGTGTCCCCAGCACGAGGCACAGAGTGGGCGCCCGGGGGCGGCGG